CCAGTGTTTCTCCCTCGGACCTGCTGGTGGTTTCGAACTGTCAACCATGAGGATCACGGCTCAATGCATCACCCCCGGAAGTACTGTTCTGTCCTATAGAATTTCTGGATATTGGAATTAACTCAATGGCTACACGATTCCGATTACACGTGAAAAACAGTATTCCTTTCCCTTAAAGATATTCTAGTGTTATTGCAGAGGTGCCAACAAGTCTCACATGAGGATGGGAAAATGGGGAGAACTAAAGAAAGAGAGAAGGGTAGGGGTATTAGGAACTGAGTAGTTAATTGTGCCAGCCTGGCCGATAATCACATGTGGTGCTGGTTGAAAGGCGGAGGGATAAATGGGTGGTGAGCCTCGCCTTTCTAGTTCTCGGGTCTCTTGTTTTGTGATGGTTGCATCGGGTGCAGCTGCCTTAGCAGTTCCCTGCTTCAGCTTGCAAGATGGATTTCCTACAAGACATCCCCAAGGAGAAGCCGCATGGATCTATCCCGATGCAGCCCTGGGTGCTGGAGCAGCCGTGTGGAGACCTCTGCTAGTGCTGAGATGCTTATTCGTTCACTGACTCAGCTTTCCTCCTGCAGTCGGCATCATTGCCTCTGTTTTGTGAGGTGGAGGACTTTGTGGACTGGTGTTGGGTAAATGGGTTAATGTTGGACTTGTGGGCTTGGGCAGCATTGGGTTGGGATGTTTTTGTGATGCACGTTTTCTTTGCATAAAACTCTCTCTTATATATGAGTTGCTGTGGATTTGTTTCTCCAAAGTACCTAGACTAATACAGGAACTCAGCCATCAATTTAAACAGCTGATATATGTAGAAGACACGAACTGATGGGTGAATTTCCAAAAGTAGAACCTAGATCAAGGGTTGAAGTTTTACACCAAGGCAAACTGTGGGGCTTTAATGTACCCATTCTGACAATCGACAGCCAGATGTCAGTTCAGTGCCTCCCTCTGCCTCTGGAGATACACAACCAGTGCCTGCATGGACACCTGGCAATAGACTGAACTGGATAATCTCCACCGTACCTACCAATGGCGAGAGCCCACAATTCTCCAGTCAAAGACAAGCGCATAGTCACACCTGTTGCTGAGTCTCTCGCCAGAGGCCAAGGCATCGCAACATGTTTCTCAGGGAGTCTAAAAGCCTTCTTCCGACACACATTTGCTTATTATTTTGATGGCTTATTATTTTGATAGTATCTTTAATATTCTAAAGCCACCCACAGATCAAAGGTCTCTATTATTTGTTTGGTTCTCCTTCCTTATTCGTTGTTTGGCTTTCACGTGCATTTGAGGGCATTGAAAATACCCTGATTTTTACAGGCCTTCGATTCATGCAGCACATGTTTGTTTGTTTTTGCCTCCTATTGACTTTATGTTCAACTAAAAAACCCACATGAAACTCCATCAAAACAGGTCTCATTTCATATTTTTACAGCTGAGTTTGGGGGCACAATGGTTAGAGTGTGTGTGTGTGTGTGTGTGTGTGTGTGTGTAAGAAAGAGCTTTACATACAAGAGCAATTGAATACTGAGAAAGCATCCCAGCCCAGTCCAGATCAAATCCATAAGTCTGAAATTAGCCCATGTGTCCGATACCAATCTAAAAATTCCTCTTCAGACTCACGAAACACATGCAATGATGCCAAATGTAGGAAGACAGATCACAGCCCAGTGGGTGGAAAGTCTTGTGGATCCAGTGGTGGTGTGAGCTTCTCAGCACTGGCGTGGATCTCCACATGGCTCCTCCAGCTCTGGGCTCTAGTGTAGGTCCATGTGTCTTGTCATGAGGAATACAAAGCAGAGAGTATATCTGGCCTCCAGTAAGCTACTTATCTCCTTTGCACCTCTAAATGATGTCTTTAAGTTGCCACCTGATTGACAGGCTAGACTTCACCCCTTCGCAAGTTGACTGGAGATTATGTAACTACCACACTGCCTTTACTCTAATCCACCCCCTGGCTGGGGGAAGGTGTGGTTGAAGGTATTGGTTGACCCTATTGGCTGGGTTGATTAGATTTTATCTCGATGACTTTGTGCTGTCCTTTTTGTCAAAATATTTTCAAAACTTGAAGAGTATCAGCTGCCACACCAGCATTCCCTGGCAGGTTTGTGTCATCTGCAAACAGAGTAAATCTGCTTTCTATGTCTTCATCCGAGTTATTGATAAAAATGTTAAGGATGACAGGCCATTCAATCATTCACTCACCAAATATTTATCAAGTGCCTACAATATGTAAACCACTCAGGACAGAAATGTATTTGTACTGGGATGGATCCGTAAATGGTTTGCTTTTAACAACCCCCTAAGTGGGCTTCTTCCCTTGCAGGTTTAATTAAGCTCATTAAGTACTTATTGATCACTTGCTCTTCTCTCAGCAGCTTACTAAACATCATGAAGGGAGCAGAGGAATTAAAAACCAGGACCCGGGTTCTCTGGAAGCCTGAGCTCTCTTTAGTGAGACAGGCTTTTGTACACAAACATTTTATGGTGCAGTGTAGGAAGTATTCACATAAATGATTAAATGAGTGGTTCAGACAGCATGTTTCAATATATTTGATTCTAGTTGAGACTCTCAGGTCACTTCATTGAAAGCTTCAAAAGTCATCATAGATTCTTAGATTTGAAAAGGACATCAACGTTCTTCCCGTATCCCCCTCCCCCAATATGAACTCCAACAAATGGCGATGAGGGGTGTCTATCTCCCGAGTCGTTTCCCTCTGCTCAGCTTACTGATTAGAATGGCATTCTAACATTCCCCGCATTGAGTCTAAAGCTGCCCCTCTATCTATCTCTATGAGTTCACTGAGTAATTGAATGACTGAATTCTAACTCTGTCTTCTAAAGTTAAGAACACAGTGGGCAGATCCAGCCAGTCTAAGGCACTATTACTCCTGTACCTAATCCTTATGTTTCCAGCTGACATATCTACGGTTCCATCATTTGGCATCATTAGGTGACCACCCCCTACTATTCTTGTCATTCATATCCTGACTCCACGCCGGACATGAAGCTCACATTCGCTTGGTCTACTGAATGAAAGCAAGCATAAATAGACCAGAAATCTTCCATTTTTAAATACTGGTCTAAAAAAAGGAATGTTCAGAATTGAACAAATTGCTAAATATGAGGTCAGAAAGAGTGTCTATTATAGGTGTCTTACTCTGGAAAATATACTTCCATTAAAACTGCTTAGAAAAGCTCTTTCTTTCTTTGCAGTGGCGTTGGGTGGGGTTCTATGGCGACAATACACACTAATGCCCCACATTGAGTTTGTAATTAATTAAAATCCGTAAGCCTTTGACACGTGGGACAACCAGCGTCTATTTCCACGTGGGAAGGAATGGAATGTCCCTCTTCATGTGCCTGACTGTTTAAAGGTCATGCTGGCATTCTGATCCCAAGAGCACTTAAACCCTTTGGGAATTTAATATTTTGCTGTATTCTGGTGTGGAATGGGGTGGGGGTGGGGGTCACGAATAGATGGGCACAGCACGACCCTTGAGGACAGATGAGTGGGTGAGATGACTTTCTTAACCAACAACTAAAGAGGATCCCTATATGCCATGCTGGGTAGTAGGCAGGAGCAATGTAAAGGTAAGTGGAGAACACTCCCTTCCTGTAATGAGTTCAGAATAGCGAGGGAGACGCGGCTCAGTTGAGAATGAGGCCAGTTAGCCCTTCAGACAGGCAACACCTTATTGACTGTGCTCCTGGAAAGGTGAGATTAACCTCAACTGAACGGAAGTCGAGGAAAGCTAAGGCGTTGAACCAGTCTTCATGCCAGCTTACTTAAAGCAGCAAGCAGGCTGCCAGGACACTGCAGCACTGGCAGAGTTCACATGGACATCACCTCATTGCTCCTCACAGATATTTGAGAGCAAAGGGAGACCAGGCTAAGGGAAACGTTGCCCTGTGTGGACTAACACCTTAGAATAGCAGTAGTAATTGAATTTCTCTGGATTAATAAAATGGCTTGGTAAAATCTCTGTGCCTCTTCTACCTCCTCTTTCCCCCCTCACCTCAAAGACAACTAGAAGTAAGGAGTGGGTGAGTCAAGAGGAGGAATAAATAGAATCTACTTCCTTTCTGTAAACTATCTGCTGAGACTTGGCTAGATTCCATTTTTCCCACTTGACAGATGAGACAATGGGACAGTTATGTGGCGATGGTCGACTGAATTATTGGTTCCAGTTCATCATATCCCTCTAAGAATATTGTAGCTGTGCCTTGCCAGCATCTTGTGGTGCATGGAGTATATTTCTCCTCCCCCTACGCATTGGATTGGACTGCTAACCTCAAGGTCAGCAGTTCAAAACCTCCAACTGCTCTGCAGGATAAAGATGAGACTGTCCATTCCCATAAAGAGTTACAGTCTCAGAAACCCAAGGGACAGTTTGAGCCTGTCCTGTAGGTTGCTACAAGTGGGAATCGGTTCAGGGGCAGTGAGTTTGTCTTCTTGTTTTGTTTGGACTTTAGGTTTGGCTCCGTAATTAGCTTTGGGTAATGGAGTACGTATTAGCATCTCTGGTGTGGAAGAGACTTTAATTGTGGTCCTGTGACTGAGCCTGCCTTCCTGTGCCTCTGTTATTGGTAGGAGAAGATGGGACAGGATAGCGGCTGTTGCTTCAAAATGAAAGACTCAGAACGAATCATGGGAGCACACTTGATCCTGACCCCTCTCCTGGAGGCAAGTTCACTGTCTTCAGCTAGCCCAGCTGACTTGAAGACCTTCAGCCTGAAGCAGAGGCACTCCAGTTAGCCCGCAGACTCATGAGTGTGGGATCAGGGCCTGGGAACTGAGGAGCGACTGGTGCCAAGGCATCATCAGGCAGCAGCTGGCTGGGAAGAGGTCCCTCCACTTAAAGTAACAACAGTACCTTGCCATCAAGCTCCAATTGCCCTGGTGGCAGGCCCTCTGGGGAGGAAGCAGTGCAGATCTCCACCCCCACGCCAGCCCCACCCCACCACAGACCCTGCCCCCTGCGGGCACTCACCAGAGTCGGAGGCTGCAGGGCTCACCAGGCTGAGCAGCTCTCGCTCCTTCTCATAGTCCCCTTTGCAGAGCAGCTGCCCCTCCTTCAGGACAAACTCATCACCCTTCTGGAGCTGCCGCTCGCAGACACAGCAGCAGAAGCAGCTCAGGTGGTACACACTCTTCTGGGCCCGCATGACAAACTCGTTGGGTGCAATGGCCTCGAAGCAGCCCCCGCATTTGACAGCAAACAGCCTGGCAGGGGAGAAAGTGAGGACACGCTGTGAGCCAGGTCTCCCTTCAAGCGCTGGGGCAAGGATGGTTGGACTGCTGGAATGTGTGGCAATCCAGTTAGACAGTTCCTGGGGGCACACAACTGCAAGCTTGTCGCCTCAAGTCCCACCCACTGCTCCAATGCACAAAGATGAGGTGGTCAGTCCCCATAAGGCTTTACAGTCTCCGAAATCCTACGTATAAGTATGTAAGTCACTGTAAGGACGAACCAATTCAACGGACAGGGTTGTTTTCTTTTGTTGTTCTGTCCTGTCAGTTTGTCATACGGTGATGGCTCGTATGTTGTTGCCAAGCTGAAAGTTGTGCCAATAAAGTGACCCAGAGTGGACCCATGTAGGCGGGGTTTCCAGATGGAGACCGACTAGAAAGGCCTGGCAATTTACTGTTCAAAACTCACCCGATGGATCACAACGAACCATTTGCTTCAAACACATCCTCAGAAGGAACCGACTGAGGAAGAAGGACTTGAACAGGTTTGGTGAAGTTCAGGGCCAAGGAGAGCACTAGGCCCCCGACAGGAGAGACTGGCAAAACAGCCACACCAGGGATGTGAACCAATCCAGTGATCGTGAGCAGGCGGCAGGGCTGGGCAACGTTCTGCTGTCTTGGCTCGAAGACCACTAGGAGCTAGAGTTGACCTGGGGGCGGTTATTTGTCGATCTTGTCCATGACGAGTTGGACTAAAGTTAATCAGTTGCATGATTCTATCATAAGCTTGAGGAAAGAAGGGTCAGAGGTGCTGAAAGACGGCCATCTGCACTAACGGCCGGGGCACACTTGGTAGGGTCGATGGCATGGGATTCCCAACAGTGGCATCCCTAGGGGAGGTAGGATGGCGCAGTACAGGGCCAGGACACTCTGCCCATGCTATGGGAGAAGGGGGAGGTGCTACTGGCAAGTCCTACCCATGGGGTGGTGTGTGTGTGCGTGCATGTGCATGTGTGTGTGATTGACCACACTGGGTGACACCAACCCGAGAGTCCCCACTGGTTCCCAAAAGCTGTCTGTAGACAAGAATCCCAATAGTAACTGTAACGACAAAAACATATCTGAGCCAACTCCTATCTGTGAAAGGGTGTAGCCTCGGGATGTTTTCAACGAGCTCTGGGGTGTGATCCAGTTTGGGAGATGTCAACTTCAAGAGATAACGTGTATCCCAACTTTCCAGCCCTCAGACATCTGGATTCAGTCGAACTCGTGATACTTAACTCCTACTTCACTTCATTGTCGACGACACACAGACAGAGCATAGGTGTGGCGCCAGAATAGTAGGTATTGGCTATGTGAAGGTGAATAAAGAAAATCCCTTCCAGAAGTGAGTTCAGGAATGGACAGGCATATGTGGGGGTACAATTAAATAAAAATTTAAAAAAGGATTGTTTTTTCAAAGCTACATATTTGATTTTTTTTTTAACAAAACAACCTTATCACCTTCAAAACACTCTCCATTACACTTAATTCATTTGTCCATTCTGCGATTCAATTCTTGAAAACATTTTTCAAACTCATTGGATGGCTGACAACACCTCCCTCATTTTCTCATTACCTTTTCTACATGGTCAAATCACTGTCTTTTCATGCCCTTCTTCATTCATGGAAACAAAAAGAAGTTGCATGGAGTGAGGTCAGGTGAGTCAGGTGTGTGGGGTAAGAGTGGCGTGTTGTTTTTTGCCAAAAATTGGTGCACTGAGAGGGCTGTGTGAGCAGGTGCATTGTCGTAGTGGCAAAACTAGTCCCCCGCAAATCTGCCACAAATCAGACCTTTTTAGTCACACAATGATACACTATCTTTTCAGAAACTCTAAATAGAAAGCTTGATTTAAGAGTCTGACCTGTTGGAATGAACTCCAACTGCAGTATCCCCCTCACATCAAAAAAACAAATGAGCATCATCTTGATCTTTGATTTCACTTGACAAGCTTGTTTGGGGTGAGGTGATAATGGTGTCTTCCACTGGCTTGATTGATGTTTGCTTCGGGGTCATAAGAATAGCACCGTGTCTGGTCATCAGGAAAGACCTTGGAAAAAAGTCTGGGTTGCTTCAGAGCTGTTCTTTCAAAGCACAGCATGATTCCAGTCGACACTCTTATTGCTGGTCAGTCAGAACCCGAGGCACAAAATGTGCAGTGATCTTTGAGCAAAAGTGCACAAACTTGGGAAGGTGATGAACCTTCCAAGCAAGGTTTGCCATCAAATGACATGTCACTTTTTTTGAAAGGAGCAAACCCTCATACACTTGAGTTTCTCCCATAGTGCTGTCCTTGTAAGCTGTGTTCAACATCACAACAGTTTCTGTGACGTTTTTCCAGAGCAGGAAACAAAATTTCACAGCCACACGCTGTTCTCTTAAATCAGCCAGCGCAGATCATGAAGTTCAGGTGAAACTGCTTTCATGAAAAAAATCCACTGTGACCAGAGAACCTTCCCAGGCAACACCACTGGGTGCACTAACTCGGAGCAGGTTGCTGTATGCTTGCCTAGTGTGAAAAATGCGTACTACAAAAGCTGCCTAGTGGAGCTTTTTTCTCTTTGGTGGTGGTGGTTGGGGAGGACCCCTGTTATCTAGGTAATGTGAGTTCTGGGAGTCCAGGGCTATGAGGACACTGAGAAGGACATCACTGTCAGAGAACAAGATGGGGAACTTGCATTTTATCCTGATTTTACAAATTCTGGATCAAACAGTGCAGGCAGGCTGGCAAGCATAAAAGTCTGGGGACCGAGAGACACGGTGCCTTCCAGGTTGAGGGAACAGCCCGTACGAAGGCATGAGGCTGTGAAGTGTGCTCAGAGCACAGTGTGACTCCATCAGTTCAGATGCCTCTGGCAGCTGAGGTAGATCATGACCAAGCTGCTCACCAAAGAGCTAGGCATCAGGCAGCTGAAGGATTTTATCATGAGAAGAGCCGTGGAAAAGTAACTCCGAGGAGTGTGAAAGGTGACGTGGAAATGGTGCTCAGGATGAGTGAAGGAGCCCAGCTGGGCAGGGGTGGACGTTTCAGAAGGAACGCAGCAGTGAGGATGCTGGCGAGGAGGCAGCAGGTCCCACCAGTGCGAGGCTGGGCTAGGAATGAGAGTAGAGCAGTACGGGGTGGCTCTCAGAGCTGGTGCTCAGGGTCAGTGAGTGATGACGGACCCTCTGCACATCATTCTTGGTTTCCTGCCTGTTTGTGCGATTCCATCCTCCCGGAATGCCTTTCTCTCTGTCAAAACTACTGAATCCACCCTCACCCTCAGGACACCGAAGCTCCCATGGTCTTCCCCAGCCCTGGGCCTCCATGAATCCCTATAGCATGCACTGCCTGTGCTGGCCCTCTGGCCGAGACTGTAATACAACAGAGAGTAGAAAGCAGAAGCTCTGTTCTCAGCCATGGAGGAACCTCGGGCAGGTTGTTGGGCCCCTGTGTGCCTCAGTCTCCTAGCTGTGGTTCAAGAGGTGAGGTCAGCCAAGCCAAGCTCTTCAAGGTCATAATGCCCAGGATCATCGCTTCACATTGCTCGTGGAAAGTAGGGTTTCAATCTTGCCTCTTTAGGGTTTCATGTGTTTAGAATGTACCTTGACAATAACTTGTGTTGCTATCAAGAACAAAGCCTATGGAAGGTTCATATACATATGGCAAGCAGTCAAAGTTGATTTGATTTGATCTGTGGATCTAATTTGTTCATGTTCTTCCTGATGTATACGGGGTGCTTAATAAAGCTTGCTTCCCTCAGCCCTGTCACTCTAGATCAATAATGGTTGCAGGTCATCTATGAATGCCTAAAATTTCATTCAAGCAGATGCCTGTGTATATAT